TTCACCGCCGATCTGCTCTACTTCGCGTGTACGGACTGGCGATGGGCATTCGATATTCTCTCTGCCGCAAGTTTTCCAGTGAGAGCCCTCTCCGTGACTTGGGATCCTCGCGCCTGATGTCGCTTCGATTTTAGGACTCTTCCGCCACCCGACTGTCCGGGGTAGCTCTTCGCGATTGATGTCCGGTTAAGGGACGGACCATAGTTGGTTACCTGCGGGAACACCAGCTGATCATGTGGCATGCACGTATACGAGGGTCAGAGTGGCTGTGAGGGTGGGTGTTTGCGGACTGTGACTTTGAGGATATTTCGACTGGAAGGTTGCAGCGATCGCTGCGACTCGGCTCTGAGAGTTCGTTGACCCTTCGAGGACCGGTGGAGCTTGTAGAGCTTTCAGGGGTCTTGAGATTTTCCACGGGGTACCGGTGATGAATCGAATGCCGCTACTTTTGTCAAGGGGTTTGCTACTCTAATCGGTCATTCTAGGGTGACGCCTTATGGCAACCCTTTGCACTCGAGAGCTCACTCGCCGCTTGATTTTATACAGTGGAATTATAAAATTTGATATTTAATATTATACTCTGTATAATGCATCAGTTTGAGAAATATTCGAACAAAATAGTAATGGTTTCTCGTCGAGTCACAAAATGGTAAAATATCTGTAGTGAAAATCTTCCGAGTGCAAGGGGTTAATGCTCAGATTAATTCTTACTTCCGAGTCTGAGATTTATATGTTTTTGATTTATTTGTACTTAGCACTCTGCCGTTATTGTTATCGTGGTAATTATGTAAATTATTAAAATTAAGAGTGAGCTACCATGGAAGCCCTTTGAAATCTAACCTATTTCTGGTCGGTTTGAACGGTGTCGTTTGAAAAAAAAATGGTAACCTAACGCTAGAGTTTACTCCCCATGAAAATCATGTCAACGAACCTTAATTTCCTCTTCATACCGACGCTCATCTCCAAAACTCTCCTCGATGTGCTTCCATGCGAATTTTTCTTCGTCGATTCGATCATTTTTCGCGGAACAATACCTCTGATCGATCGCGATGATCTCAACCACCTACTGAGAGCCAACGGAACTAACCGTGCTTGAATTATTCCGTTGATCCCGCCAAACGTCTATCGATTTAAGGTTTCTCGTTTCCCGGAGAACTCGATGGACATTCCGATAGAGAAATTATTTGAGAAACTGGAGGGACCTTGACTAATGCAACGGGATTCTCGGCACGAATGATGTATTGACCGATTAAGAGTTGATTAATACCGCGTTAGTTAATTATTTCATTAGGTATGCGTGTGGCGTCGCACGAACGTGTGCCGGGTATCACTGCGACCCTCTGGCGGCCTGACGTATGAACTAAAATTTATCCCTGACTGTACGCAGCCCATCGTGCAGTGTTGTATTTCGCAGAGTTTTTATTCAATTAACTCCCATTTTTAATTAGCAACGCAGCGATGCTTGTTATTTTCAGCTTCCATACATCGTGCATCCAAGGAACAATTACCTTTTCAAAAATGACTAAAAATTATATTATATTTTCGTAACATAAATTCGCTGTAAATTATGAGAATTGGTAAAGGAACGTGTAACGAACGAGCTTTGTCTGTTAATTGGAAACAATTTAATACATTTTTTCTATCTTGCTACGAATGCAGCAACGATAACCTTGTTGCATACTCGCAGGAGAGATTTTAGTCACTCGTTCGGCCGCTAGATGGTCGAGCGTTTGTCTTTCCATTGAGGACGGTGTCGAGAGTAAGCGCATTCAGGGAATTCAATGGAAATAATTAACCGATAACAATTAAAACGATCAGAATTAGCAATCGAAATAATTTATTTATACATCATTCATACAATACGCTATCTCTCTTGTAATACGAATAGACACTTGAAAACAACTCCTCGCGATAGATCGTTAGCTCAATAGCTTATTCCAAATAATGTCTGCCATTTAAATATAATTCGATATGATAAATTAAGGGTCTTTATGATGCAGGAAGCGAAGATGGAGATGGCTATTAGTACCACATAAAACGTGGTTATTTAAAACAGTCCTTTAACCACTGTAATAACACTGACTCCTCCTCTTGAACCGCGGGAGCTTCCTGCTTCTATTCAACTTGATAATTCTGTAAATTCTCGCATGAACTCCATAAAAACTCGATAAAAAACGATTTCGAAGGAAGAAACAAAAGAAATCCGCCCAATTCTCCTCTCGCAACGAGATCAGGAGCCGCACACTTTCACCAGACACCAAAACACACCATCCGCAGGCGTAAGAATTACATTCGATGACATCAGAATGTTGACGGCCCACTTTAAAACAGGTACTTAACATCGCAACCTTGGGCCGTCGCAAACTTGTAAAAGCTTCGTGCAACCTGCATTTCTCTCCTATTTGCATTCGCGCCGCGTTCAGTGTCCATCGTGTCCAACGCCCGCGCGATCCGCGTCCGAGACGACGGAAGTTCGCGAAACTGAACTCGAATTACCGTCGAATTCGAGGGAAAATCTCATCGAACCGTTCGCAACCGGTGGCAGCGAGTTCCTCCGCACAGGCGACGCGCTAAACGAAGTGCTAACAACGAAGTTTCGTTTTCAGTTCGCGCTCTTGGCGAGTCAGGATCTAACTAGCTTCGTTTAACGCGTTAAAGGACGACGATCCGACGATGATCGCTGCGTTGCAGCCACAAAGACGCGCGAAGCTGCTTAAATGGGATTTACATGGAGATGCGTTTCAAAACAATGAATTCGATTAATCTTCCATTCCGCGGGGAGAAGATACGAGGTCGCGATAAAGTGGCAACAGTGTTTCGAAATGCTAATCGAAACGGTGTCGGAGAAGACGTGAGAACATCAACAACCTTTCGCAACTTGCATCGTCCTCTCGGCGGCGTTCAACTTCGGAAATGGTGGAGTTGATAGTTGCGCGGTGCTACGACCGTCATTGACATTGACACTCGGTATCCAGTGTCACGCCGGGACGTCCAATTGTTCATTCGACGAGCGACGCCGCTCCATTTAATTCGAGGTATCGTCGCCCAATTTCTTTGACGAGTCGGACACCGACGCGATTGGTATTCGTCCGGCAGCGCGAGGCGACTCGGCGCGTCCCGGCTTGCGTCACGAAGCCTTGATCGTATGAACGCTATCGAGGATTCCAGGTGTCCCACCCGCTCGGCGCCGATCGTTCGATGATTTCGTCCCAACGAAACCCGGTCTCCGATCATAAAGCTCGCGAGAGCTGCACACGATGGGCGTGCGTGATTCTCGCGTAATTCGGGCTAAAGTTGAATCGAAGTCGACAGAGCTGCGACCCTTCGACCTTGGGACTCTGGGAAACGTGTTCACGAGTGTATCAGTGCGACGAATGCTTCGAGTTTCCTCGAGTTGTTCGAGAGTCGTCGGACGCGTTTGATTTGGCAATTGAAGTTGAGTGAAGTCGGATTAGGGGAATATCAAGGTTCCAGCTAATCTGGAGGCAAGATATAAGTAACCTTAGGAGGATTTGGAAGGAAGATTGGAACCGAGTTAATGGAATTTGCAAAAAGCTGTGTCTTTCAAGATGAAACTTGAAAATCAAAGCTGAGTTAACGAAACTTTAATCAAAGCTGAGTTAACGAAACTTAAATAAAATCTGAGTTAACGAAACTTGAAAATCGAAGCTGAGTTAACGAAACTTGAAGATCAAAGCTGTGTGGACGAAACTTAAATCAAAGCTGTGTCGATGAAACTTAAATCAAAGCTGAGTCAATGAAACGTCAAGACTACGAAGCAAATAAGAAGTAAATTAACTCGAAGATCAAGAAGACTCAGATCCAAGACCTAAAACACAAGACTACCTCAACCTTCAGGACTCCAAAAGCACACCTGACCTCAGACGAACCTGAAAGTTTTAAAACTCAGCAATGCCGAGGCTATTAGCAACGATCCTATTCCTCTCTGGAGCTCAGTGCATCCTCTCACCGGCCCTCCTGGACACCGTGTACCACATGTTCTCGGGATTACCGTCGACGCCGGACGACTCCGTGCGCGACGAGTCGTCGGCGTCCGGCGAATACGATTTCATCGTGATCGGCGCCGGTTCCGGTGGCTCGTTGCTCACGAACCGTCTGACCGAAAACCCGAGGTGGACCGTGTTGCTGCTGGAAGAGGGCAAAGACGAGATGTTCCTGACGGACATACCGCTGATAGCGCCGGTCCTCCACGTGACGGACTACGTGCGGCTGTACAGGAGCGAGCCGAGGCCGAGGAGCTCGGACGGGACCGGCGGCTACTGTCTGTCGATGAAAGAGGGTCGGTGCAACATGCCGGGCGGCAGAGCGGTCGGCGGCAGCTCGGTGGTCAACTTCATGATATATTCGAGGGGTTCGCCGGCTGATTACGATGACTGGGCTGCGCAGGGCAATCCAGGATGGAGTTACCGGGACGTACTGCCGTATTTCAGGAAGTCCGAGAACTGCAAGCTCCCGGATCGTGACCTCAGGTACTGTTCTGAGATCTATGGGCCCCGGTTTAGCCGAGCGTGCCGCTCGAATGAGAAGTGCTTTCGATTTGATGGCTCGCAGAGATCATTCGGGATTTAGTGTTAACCCTTGGCACTCGTGACGCGACTCCCGCCATCTGATTGGCTCGAGAATTACGAAGTTTCGTATTTACTCCGCGGAACGCGTCGCTGTGTGGGATATTGGAATAGTGTTTAGTAGCCATTGATTATTAACGGTTCGATAATGAACGCTTTAACGATATTGGCTCTGGCAACCGAATCTTCTTAACGTTGAACGTTCATCGGTGACCTCTGAATCGGATTATTACAATTCACTCGATCGAACGATTACGTAAAATTTGTTCGAGATGTATGCGATGCAACGGCGAGTGACGTAATGCGAGAGTTTGGGAATCATTGGGAAAGAGGTAATATAGTGGTATTAACACTAGATTCACGGGACCTGTCAGTTTGACGGGTATTGAATTTTTTGAGCGTTGTTTCGTAAGTTTCAGTCGGTTTGATTCGTGCAGTTACGCATTGCAATACTCTGGAGCTAGAATTTTCGCGATTTATATCGACGCGTGGTTTCTTAGGGAGAATAGAATAAAGTAGAGATCGTCTGTAAATCTAGTGTTAAAGAATATCGCCTACTTTCTGAGTGCCAAGGGTCAATCTTTACTTTCGAAGTGACGGGGTAAAGAATAATGGATACTTAAATTAAGAAGTAAATAGTTGAGAATTATCAATTCATGAGAAGGAAGGATTGTTTGTCCTAGGCCTCGATCCGCAGATTCGAAGTAATTATAAATTCGTAAGCAACGTTCGTTTTCCTCTTTCGTCCATTAAAACACCTCGATTTCTGAGTTGCAAAATCGACAGCCTTACTCAGAGACAAACATCCTCGATCCCCTAAGCTAAGCGATTCATTCTGATCAACCGGACTCTGCTATACCGAGACGAATTCTTCGATCAGATTCCATGGTCACGGAGGATACCTCGACGTCACGACCTCTCCGTACGTCTCCCCGCTGAGGGAACGTTTTCTCCGAGCGGGCAAGGAACTGGGTTATGACGTAATCGATTATAACACCGACAAGCTGATCGGGTTCTCAACCGCGCAGGTACATTTGCGGAACGGTCGCAGGGTCAGTGCGAACAAGGCTTTCTTGCGACCTATCCGCGACAGACCGAACTTCCATCTATCAAAATTCTCTAGAGTCACCAGGATCATCGTCGACCGTACCACGAAAACCGCAGTGGGCGTGGAATTCGTCAAGAATGGCAGGAAACTGTACGCGACAGCTCGCAAGGAGATCATACTCTCAGCAGGTGACGCCGAGAACTGCTCGCAAACGTTCATTACGAAAGTTCCTGCGGACCTCTTTGCATTTATGGGACACTTGAAAGTACAGAATTGCACGGAACGCGCCTGGAACGAAGATACGCGTAAATTATTTAAACTACGGTGCTTTTTGCGACAACTATTCGGGAAAACTATATTCCACCGTAGCACCATTTCTTCGATTACGTTCTCTAACATTCGTATAAATCTATTTAATTTATTTACGAAGGTCGATACACGTTGCCGACGCATGCATCGATCTCGCGAGACTCGCGTCGCTTCAGCTCGCCTCCAGATTTCCGGTTTTTTTCAGTTTATTACGCGATGACGAGGCATTTCGAAATCTCTTCTCTCCGAGCTGCGTCGTTAGTTTCTATAATGAGATCCATGATCGTCGCAAAAAGCCGAATTAGCGGGCATTAAGGCTAGACTTCCGATCCGCCAATACCGGTTCACGCGTGTTCGGACGCGGTGCGCGGCGTGTATCGTAACGCGTGGAGATCTTTTCGTTACTCCCATCGCTCGTGTTTCATCCAGGAGCCTTGAACTCGCCGCAACTGCTGATGCTGTCCGGGATAGGGCCTAGAGATCGTCTGAAGGCCTTGAAGATCGACGTGATCGAGGATCTGCCGGTCGGCTACAATCTTCAGGACCACGTGAGCATGTCGGCGCTGACCTTTCTCGTGAACGAGAGCGTGACCATCGTCGAGCCGCGTCTCGCCTCGAATCTGGCCAACACTTTCGACTACTTCGTCAAGGGAACCGGTCCGCTGACCGTGCCCGGTGGCGCGGAGGGTCTCGCTTTCGTCGATACTAGACGAAAACCGAAAGGATCGTCTCGACCTGATGGAAAAGGTGATCCCCGTGGTCGCGTGGAATGTTCTTAACCCTTTGCACTCGAAAGTTTTCCACTAAAAGTACATGTCATTTGACCAGATATAGACATTCTTTGGAATCGACTTAAGAAATTACGTATGAATTAAGGAACAACGGTAGTTGATTTCAGTATCTCGCGTACTAATACATTATGCTTAATATTGAGTTCGATCATTTTGATCTATCAAATCGTATGGCGACTGAAAGCCTCTGAAGTGCAAAGGGTTCACACTAGATTTACGCAAGTTCATTCTACATTGTATTCTATCGCTTCCAGAAGGCTTTTATGCTTGTTCACGTAGGTCGTGGAAATTAGAGTTTCGAGAACAGAGAAGTGTAGTGTGTAGTCGCGTGACTTCACCAATTAAAATCGATTTAAATTACGAAATAATGTTTGAAGCATTCAATATCCGTGAATCTAGTGTTAACCCTTCACACTCGAGAAGTGACTGTCACCTCTTGATTTAATATAGCAAAATGATGAAGTTCGATATTTAACGTAAGCTTTGTTATATTTACTAATGCATTGTGTGAAATATTAAAATAAATTAGCTTTGTTTCTTAATTATATTTTCTTATCTGGAAGTTCAATATTTCTAGGGAAAAGCTTTCGGTTTGCTAAGAGGTGAATTCCAGTTTAGATCTCTGTAGTTCCTATGAACTTTATAGTAACTAATGTAAACTGATTGTATTGTATCGTACTGTCTATATGAAATCCTCTTGCTTTCCAGTTGCACCGCCGAATGTGTCCTCCATTAGCGTCGACTCCGGATACTTTAAATCAAAATTGGACTCTCCTACGAATCAAAGGAAGGAGACGAGTGTCCCTGATATTGAATTAGTACTGGGGATAAGCGCATTAACAGGGGACACTTCTGGAAGCTACAGAGGGTTACTGGGATTGTCGGAGGAGTTTTACAGAGACGTGTTCTCTGATTATATAGGTCTGGACGCTTTCAGTATAGTTCCAGTGCTGTTGCACCCGAAAAGCAGGGGGCGAGTTACTTTGAACTCGTCCGATCCCATGGATCCCCCTATCTTCGATATCAACTATTACGATCATGAACATGATTTGAGGACTATGGTTAGAGGAATCAAAAGTGTGAGTATACCGAACCTCGTCGATTATTCCGAATGCTTCTATGATCTTCCAAGCGTTCTAAACCATCTAACATGAATCGATCTTTTTGCAAGCATCTAATTAATACAAATCAGGGAGAGATCGCCCACTTTCTTAAGAAAAATACCATCAACATCTAACAAAACGAGACACTTCCGGAACTAAATTCTCCTAAAAAAATGTAAACAGACCTCTATGCAAAATTCAGTATTGAAAGTATACAATTTATATCAAATTATAATTTACTAACATTCAGCCTGTTGCAATCCTGTTTTCTCCCATGACAAAGGATCCTCAATCTTCCACAGAAACACGCGCCATTGCAAATACTCCTAGTAGTTCATAGTAAAAATGGTTTAAAGTCGCTAAGAGGTCATAAAAATTGCTCGGACTGCAAAGGGTTAATACTTCCGATTTCAATTCGCAATCTAAACAGAACCAGGCCATCTCTGCGAAAATCACCGTGTAAGATCGCCTAAAACTGCTTGCAGGCCCTAGCAGTCGCTTCGACGAGGTCTTTCGACCGCTACAACGCGACGCTGCTGCCCGTGGCGTTCCCAGGCTGCGAGACGAACAGGTTCAACACTGACCCCTACTGGGCCTGCGTCGCCCGGCACGTGAGCACGACCCTGGGTCACTTCGCGGGCACGTGCAAGATGGCGCCGAGGAAGAACTCCGGCGTGGTGGACCATAGACTGCGGGTCCACGGGATCAATGGTCTCCGCGTGGTGGACGCCAGCGTGATACCAACCTTGATATCCGGCCACACGAACGCGCCGGTGTACATGATCGCGGAGAAAGCGGCGGACATGATCAAAAGGGAGTGGAAACCGGCGTTCAAAGGGACGCGGCAGAGGATTCGAGTGTCTCCCGCGTCGACGCGAGTATATTTAAATAGAAACGATCGAGATACAACCAGTACGATATGAATAGTTTGCGCGAACGTAAGTCGCCGCTGTTGCTTCGTTAACGTTCTATCGAGGAAATGGATTTTATCTTTGGTAGCGGTACGTTCCTTCCCGCGCAGCGTATGTACAGTCGATGGAGTCGTCGATACTCCGGTGACGCCTGAACAGTCCTCGTGATTCGGACGATCGAAGCCTCGGGAGCTTCAAAGCGAGAGACTCGTTGAGACTAACAGAGCGAGGGCCAGGGAAGACAGCGTCCAGGTTGCTGCTGCGGCGCCTGTGGATCGGTTACAGTTCGTTGAATGATTTCACAGGACTGGGATGAAGATTTAGATTTTCAGCTGTATGTATATATGTGTAAATGTCGATAACGGTAGAATAGCAATTATGGTGAGTCGAGGATAGCTACTGATAGAAGAGCAGTTACCGCTATCGCTGTACCGGACGCAGTCGTGCAGCTCTTCCGTCATGATGTAGTCGTTAGAGCAGGAACAGACACCTTGGAAACAGATAAAAATACTCGTTAGACGTTATTTGATTCCCTTCTCGAACGGTTTCGAACCTCACCGTCTATGCAGTCGACGTTCATCGGCTCAACGGAGAACGAGTCCTTGTACGTCGACGTGACGCACTCGTTGTGGCTCCGGCATCGTTCCTTCAACGCTGAAAGCGGAATATCATTAGATACTGTTCTTACAATAAATAACACGCTTCCTAATTGGAGAAGGTAAACGAAAAGCAACAGAGTTCGTTACAAATAGATCAAAACCAGACACTATGACTGTCATTAGCACTTTAAGAACGAAACCTCTGTCGAAAATGATTTATCAATCGCTACTACACCGCAAGAGGGTGTCATATATCCAGTCCAATCGCTCAATACAAGTTACTGTAAGATGAACAGCAACTACAGAGGTCCAAATTCGAATTCACCCGCAGCAAGTCGAGAGCTTGATAGAAACATGTAACCTTCCCGAGAAAATATACTTATCAAACACATTTCTCAAGTCTACCTTATTCCGTATGCTACCTATCTGTTTAGCCAATTTACCAGCGAATTCGTCAACAACTTACCGACGTTCTTGTAGCAGACGGAGCCGCGCTGATGGAAGTCGTCGAGGCACCGGCACTTGCCGTCCGAGCCGCATTTGCTGTGCTTCAGGAACAGCTGGCACTGAGAGTCCTCTTGACACGGTTCGCCCACGGAATTGGCAGCCTTCAGACACCGCTTACCATCGCCCGACATCACGTGGTCCACCCTGCACGAGCAGACGTCGGTGCACCTCGAGTTCTCCACGACGCACTCGTAATCGTTCGAGCACTGGTCGCCGAGGTCTGCGGAAATTCGCGTTTTCAAATCGATAACAGCCGCGGACGCGCAGGTGGATACCAGAGGACTTACCCGCGCTCGGTATGCAACCGTCGTTGCGAGGATTCGGATGGTATTTCAAGGTGCACGCGCAGAACCCTGTCACGCAGTAGCTGTTCGTGATGTAGCAGTTGCGGTTCGACTGGCAGATCTGTCCTATGCCTGAAGAACGAGACGACTATCTTGAGAAAGTGATTTATTTTGATCAGAGCCTGGGTTGTAGGTGTGATCTAACGAGATCTAAAGTGTATTAGATAGATCGTAGAATATGATTTCTTTGGATCGGAGTTTGGAGTTTGAGATTCGACGCTGATTTTCAACGTGGAACTTGTCAGTTGAAAGTCGAACTTTGAAAGATTGGACGAAGATAATCACTTTGATGTTAGATATCAACTGATAAGATTAGCTGGAGCTGCCGATGGGTCGAAGCGAGCCATGACTGGTTTATTCGTTTATAGTTGCTGGAAGGTGCACGAGCTTCGAGGAGTTAACCCTTTGCACTCGAGAGGCGCCTTTCAGTCGCCATTTGATTTGACCCAAGAAAATGATAAAATCTCAAATTCAATATTAAATTGTCTATGATGTATCAACACATGGAACATCGAAATGAAATAGCCCTGTCACATAATTTATGCAAGGTATTTCTTTATGTTAGTTGTCAAAAGTATCATCGATATTTCATTAGAAAGCAATGAATATTTCTTGAGAAAAATATTCTCGAGTGCAAAGGGTTAAACAAGTTGATTCGTTAATACCCAAAATGAATTATAAACCAATTAACGATAGATCCACGGAACTCAATTTGGATATTGAATTTCTTAAGCGTTATTTCGTAACAGTTTCAGTCGATTTTGATTCGTGCAGTATTGCAATACTTTGCTTTTGAAGCTAGTTTTCTATGGACAATTGAATAAAGTGTAGAACAAACATCCATACCGTTGAAGTATTAACCCCTTGGCCTATGATATATTTCTAAACTCTGGTCGATACGGCTGCTTTGTCATTAATAATTTATTGGAAAAAGAGAAAAATTCTAAGCATATGTTATGCCTATATTTCCTTTTATGTATAATAGTTGATTACAAAGGAATAATATTTTGATTTCGAATCAACTGAGTAATACATATGTTTGTTGAATCATGTTGAAAATCTTCACCACGAGTCTAACTCGTTGTAGGTCAAGGGGTTAATAGACACACGCTTGCAGTTTCTGTAAAGAAATCTGGAGAAGTCGGTTTAGTTCTAGCGTGAATCTTCCGCAGCTAAGTCCGCAAGCAGTTAACTCCGGCAACCCTTAAGCAACGTCCTCCAGCTATTCGGAGGTCCATAGAGGAATCAGGGACACGCGTCACGAGCCTCTTTTCATCGGCGGCTAGGGGTATTTCATCAGCGAGGTTTCAACGCAGAGGTTGAATAGAAACGAGAGCAGTTTACCAGAAGCTAAGCGCGTAAATCTCACCGACAGACTCGTAGCATCTTCCGTCGACGTAGTGGGACCCATCGGAACACTGGCAGATATTCTGCCGGCACTCGGAATAGGGGGCGAAGGTCACGCGGCACTGGACATCCGCCACGCATGCGTCTCCTATGGAGTTCGCCACTGAAACAGATTGTTTTCGTCGGGAACGTTACTCTTTTTCTTCCTTAACGCTTTAACCCTTTGAACTATGTAGGCTCCAATATTGCACCAGTAATAATATTTAATATTTCAATGAATCTTAAAGAAACTATGCTAAAATTCTTCGATTTTCCACACATCCAAATTTTAAACTAAGAAGGAAAATAAAAGATGGAAGCTAGGAATACTATAAAAATTAGTCGCAGTTGCTGATTACAAAACAACCTGGAGTGCTAAGGGTTAAAGTAGACAAGTAATTAATCTGGCATCAGTCGTCGACCATTTTTCAGGAAAACGCAAAAAATCGATGGACGCATCGACCTAATTCAGAAAGAGATTTACCTGAATGAAATTGTTTATCGTGGAAACTAACAATTTACTTTATTGATGTTGGTTGTATAAAGACACTTGGCTATGCAACTTCGCTAATTACCGCAGCGTTGAGAAAAATATAAAATTTGATTCGAATTGATTATCCATTTAAAATATATTACGTAACAATATGATATCTGAGTTTTTCTATGTATAGCGATATAAGTTGACCTCAGTGAAAGTTGCCACACAATTCAATTTTCCGAAAATTAGTCGGTACCACCAACCAGATCGACTTACTATAGTTCACTTAATTAAACGACGAATCATCAGAAAATGTTCAAATATTTCTAGTGAAAAACTTCCGAGTGCAAAGGGTTAATGCGAAAGAGCGCTTCGCTGTTGCGAGCCGCACTCGTCTTTCTCCACGAGTGATGTTTTTCCACGGAATGCAGGATGGTTTGCGGCAGAAGGAGGGAAATATTGTTTAATTTTTGTCAATAATTTGCGCAATAATAATAATACAATTCAATCAACTGATGTAGTATTATATTTTTTCCATTTTGTGGACTTTGCTCTACGAACCGTGCGGCGTTCAACGTGTTAACCCTTTGCGCTCGAGAGGTGACTCTCACTCACCATTTCAATTGATATAACAAAATTACAAAGTATTATACATAATATTAAGTTTCGTACAATGCATCAATATGTGAAATATTTATATAAAATAGCATTGTTTCTTAATTGACGCACGTTTTCTCATTACTTCGTTTCAAATACTGTCGCCCATGTTTCATCGAAAAGTGTCGAATGATTCCAGTGAAAAACTTCCGAGTGCAAAGGGTTAATACGAAAGAGCGGTTCGCTGTTGCGAGCCGCACTCGTCTTTCTCCAGGAACGAGTGATGTTTTTCCACGGAATGCTGGATGATGGTTCGCGGCAGAAGGAGGAGGGAAATATGGTTTAATTTTTGTCGGTTCGGCGAGCACGACGAACGACACGCTCCAAGTGCCGGGAGGCCGTGAGAAAGGGACACGGGGCTAGGAATACGAGCGAACGAAGGATCCCCGTGGAATCACGTTTCCGAGGTCGGCGACACCGATTCGTACGACTCGCCGCGCCGGGCAATCACGATTAATCGGGACTTTTCTCGATCGAACGGCTCCCAATTCAGTCTACGCCGGTGAACAAACACTTCCGACCGGATCGTTCGATTACGGTTGTCCACGTTGCCGACGTTCGTCGTCGTAATTTTAACTTGGTCGAATTGACACTTGCCAGGGATTAAACCGGAAGGGAGCTAATGAGAAAATTACCGACCGGGAATTTTGGTAACGTCGCCACTGTTGGGGATCAAGGCCGGCGATGATCCAGCGAAAGGGAACGCTGCGCGATGCGGGACTCGGGATTCGTTCGGATACTCTCCACGCGACGATTGTTAATAATTAGGCGTTGTTAATACATTGAATACTGTGGGGCTCACCGGTGATCCCCGCCCAAATTCAGTTACTGCAATTTCCTCAATTAAACGATGATTATTCGAAAACATTCTTATCGTAAATAATGCTACCTAATGTGGCGACGTGCAGCAAACCTGCATAACAACGCGATTCAATGGAATTTAATATTGTATTTGTTTCATTTCGTATATCGCCGCCTAAATTCAGTTACTGCAATTTCCTGAATTAAACGATGATTACTTGAAAACATTCTTATGTTGTAAATAATGCTACCTAATGTGGCGACGTGCAGCAAACCTGCATAACAACGCGATTCAATGAAATAATTTAATATTGTGTTCGTTTTCGTATATTTTGCACCTTAACATCGTGCATTTAATGATGATTGTAATGATGTGACAATAAATAAGAATATCTTTATCTAAATACAGTAACATAATTTAGTATAATTTCTTTGTCATCTCTCGTTACTATTTTCTCATGTTTTTCTATAATCTTTTAATGATGATTGTAACGATAGTGTGACAATAAATAAGAATATCTTCATCTCTAAATACAATTAATTTAGTATAATTTCTTTGTTATCTCTCGTTACCATTTTCTCATGGTTTCCTATAATATCTCTGTTCACTTCTAACTTTATTAAAGCTGGAGAGTCCGACGCTGTTTGGTAATCGAATTCAATTGTGACGTAATATTTATGCCGATCGTAACATTTACGATAGTTCCATGTGAACGAGCTATAGATCGAGAGGCGGTATTAATAAAGACTCAGGCGAAAGGGTTACCTTTTAAGCATTCGACGTGCGTGCGATTCTTATAGACGATGTAATCTTCTTTGCACAGACAGGCTTCCTGGTTCCAACAATAAGCGTTCCTCATGCAGTCGTCGTCGTATCGACACTTGGCCAAGGTCTCTGGAAAAGAGGAAAACGCACGTTTCTGTTACGTTAAACGTCCGACTATTTAAATACGATTATCCGCGCGAGCACGTGGTCCCCGAGACACCGGAGAACCTCAGGATATCGCGTTTCCCGGAATTTCTGCAGCGTACGCGTTCCGACAGTCCTTCGTTTCTCGAATTCCCATGAAAACCGATCGTGTCGACACGTAACTCAGTAATGAGATTCAATACGATTTTCCCTCTGCATTTTCCTCTACCGGAGGAAAACGTGAAACAGAGAGCAACGTGCTTCAAACTATACGAAGAAAATACACTTAGGAAAATATTACAATAGAACTCCTATTAAATCTGTAATGTTTCCAAGTTTCCAAGTTTCAAAATTACCAAGTAACCAAGGTGCAAAGTTTCAGTGTCCAAGTTCCCATGTAACCATATTTCACGTTATGGAGGCACATTCTAAACAAACATCATTACCGTACCCAATTCTGCGATATAAATATATACTTCCAATTACTTTCACGAATGTATCGGATTATCTATCCTGCAATATATAGAATGAAATTGCTCTCAACGTAAACTTGTACTTTAGAATCCATGTTCCAGTGGATTACTCGCGGCGTGAATCTATAAATAATGATCTGCCTCGCAGTAAGTTACATTTCAATGCATCGGTAGGTTTCAGTTTATTACTGGTGCATAGCAACAGAAGAATCCTTGAGAAATGAATGTTTAATTCGGAAGATTTAGGATACTAGGTTTGACGCCATGGGTCCCATACGTACGAGGGGGCGGCGTTCGGTCTTGGCAACGCGGTGGTTCCTGGTTCCCGTAGGAAATGGTCGCGCAGACGGTGACAGGCACGAGGAACAGCAATCTCGACAGGCCAGCCACCGTCCTGGTCGGCGTCATCCTCGCGCCGCCTCTGGAACGTCTTCTTCTGGTCGTTCCATCAGCTCGAGCGGAGACGCCGTCATTCCCGATCTCGAGGATCGTTTGTTCCCTCGTCCTCCCGCCGGTCCTGACTCGTCCAGCCCAGAATCCTCAGCCACCGGTCGTCGTGTCTCTTCACGATCTTCCGCGATTCACGAGCGCGTTACGCAACTCCGTTCCGGGCATGTAATCGCGGCGATGGCTAGGTCCGTTGTCGCGCATCACGTCACCGAGACACTGTTTGCGAACCGTGTTCACAAACACTCGTGGAAATCGAACACACCCTGTTTTTGTAATGGAACGTGCCTTCGAGAAGATGCTTGACGGTTCGTTACACTTTTATTCGATGGTTTTGCCGGGGGGATTGAGCTTCGAGTGGTTCGGACTGTTGATTGCGAACGCTGTACGGTTTTAGGGGTTTGGAGATAATGGTTTTGGATGCTGGGAGTTTGAGCTTTATCTCTTTCAGAGCTTCGATGTATCAAAGTTTTGAAGTTTCGAAGTTTCGAAGTTTCAAAGTTTCAAACTTTCAAAGTTTCCAAATTTCCAAATTACCAAGTAATTAAGGTGCAAAGTTTCAAAGTTTCCAAGTTTCCAAGTTACCAAGTAACCAAAGTGCAAAGTTTCAAAGTTTCAAAATTTCCAAGATTCCAAGTAATCAAGTTACCAAGTAACCAAGCTGCAAAGTTTCGAAGTTTCGAAGTTTCAAAGTTTCCAAATTTCCAAATTACCAAGTAATTAAGGTGCAAAGTTTCAAAGTTTCCAAGTTTCCAAGTTACCAAGTAACCAACGTGCAAAGTTTCAAAGTTTCAAAATTTCCAAGATTCCAAGTAATCAAATTATCAAGTAACCAAGTAACCAAGGTGCAAAT